AGATAGATAGATAGATGGTTAGATAGAAAGATAGATAGATAGATAGATAGATAGATAGATAGATAGATAGATAGATAGATAGATAGATAGATAGATAGATAGATAGATAGATAGATAGATAGATAGATAGATAGATAGATAGATAGATAGATAGATATACAGATAGATAGATAGATAGATATACAGATAGATAAATAGATAGATAGATAGATAGATAGATAGATAGATAGATAGATAGATTGATATATAGATAGATAGATAGATAGAAAGGATGCTTGTTAATGTTTGTATATTCTGCAGAGAAAACCTTGGACATCGCAACCATGCTTGTCCTCGTCACTCAACACTTACCAAATCAATCACTTATTGGTCCATACACTCCCTGGTACCTACCTCTTGCCTTGCGTTTCAGATGCGCAACTGGGGCATTTTCCTTGGGGGGGGCGAAGAATTTTGTGGTTTTCAGAGTGAAATCTTAGGATTTCTAATCCTGTACTATTTGCTATTGTGTTTGCCCTGAAAATTTTCTTTTACAGTCTCCGTAAGGTTACAAGGAGAGGGGTTCCGCTTCCCCCCCCCACCCTTCCCCTTCCCGCTTAGTTTGGCCTCTGGAGCGTTTGTACTTTAGGAGTCAAAAATATGATTTTGTTTTTTGATTCGTAAAAGTGAACCCCAAAAGTGAACCCCAAAAAATAGTCTCGTCTTATTTAACTTTGAAATTCATTAACTTTGAAAATGTTTTTCTTTCAGTTGAATAAGAAGAATAGAGTACGTGTTAATAACGGTGGCCAAGAAATAATGAAAACAGGAAACATCAACAATTTCTGTTTACTATTTTCCCCGTTGTTAACAAAAAGACTTAAAAAATTCAAGTGAAACTCTGTTTCCCTATTTACTTTAGTATATAAAGTATAAGATGCATGCGGAAACGTACTGTTTGTGTACAAATTTCTTACAGGTTCCTTTCCTGGTTTTCATGTTCATTAATTGTTAAAAAAAAATAAGATTAGTAATTATTGATTGCTATATCTGCTATTGCTATTGTCGTGTTTTCTGGCTTTGTAAATCAAAGAATTCAAATGTAAGTTTTCCTTGACTAGAATTAATGAGTAGCAAGAAGGAGTTGAACTAGACGTAGACGTAGTTAAACCATCTCTCTTGATCTTGTGTAGAATTTTCCATTTATATGATATTTCTCAAGAAACCTCCGCAAAAGATTGTAAATAAAATTAGGGATTTACACGTTTTGCTTCTTTTTATTCAAGAAAAAGTATGTGTATTCACAATAAAATAAATGAATAATTAAAACTATACAAAAATATAGGATGGTACGGGAGTTAGACATATTCATCGGTTAGATTATAATTTGAATATCTTCTATGTAGATCATTTTTTATACTTTTTAAACGTAGTTTGAAATATCTACCTTCATACGATATGAAAATTTTGGTTTGTGACTAAAAATCAGTTCCAAATGTTAGAATGTACATATTTAAAAATAAATTCTTCATTGCTACAAGCCGGTTTTAATTTAGATTGTGAATTGAAAATTTTCCCACAATTTTTTTAAAAATAAAATGAAACCTCAGACAATATTTAAATGAAAGAATGAAAAGAATAAATAAGTTGTTTTGTAATATGATTTACATGAATAAGTAAAAGCCCAGGGGTAGCTTATAACTTATGTATAAAAAATGTGGGAATAAAATAGAATAGGCTGCGATTGAATAGAATATGTGTTTGTTTATTGTTTTGGTTAGGGTTACCCTCAGGATTCTATTTTTAACTTAACAAGGAAGCAAGGGAAGGAAACAAGAATAGTAAGGACTTTAGGATTAATCTACTGATAGGTAGATACCATTCATATAAAAAAGAGTATGTTCACTGTTCAGTTCACTACGGTATCCTATATAGATCTATCTGAGTACGTAGCGATGATGAAGATATTTAAATTTTTAGCTAGCAAATAAGGTTAAGTCATTCATATTTGATCAGACAAAAATGTATAGAGCAATGTTGTGAATTGAACATGCCACTTTACAAAGGGATTGTCCTATAAAATTAGGTTAACAGTCCTTTTTAACCTTAAAATTGTCTCCCACAATCGGCAGTACACTTTTTGCGTAAACCAAGTTCAGCGGATTCCTATTGTATACAGTGCTTGGACGGAAGTATACGCTGAAAGGGTAATTTCATAAATTCAAACAATGCATTCAGAAATCAGAACTTTGATGTGGATTAATCTGAATAATTTTTTTAACAGGGACTTGAAAAAAGTGTGAACAATATTTCATTCATTATATTCATTTTTTCAAAAGCTGCACACAGTAAAAAATATAATGTATTTTCCCATTTTTTATTACCCTCCTTAATTTTTCTAAGTCTGTCTTTGCTGAAAATGAAAAACAAAGGAATCCATGTGCATTAAAGGGAGTGTTCGCGAAAAATGAAAGGACGTATAGGCCCTTACGGCGATAAATAATCGCTTTTAATCTAGTAATATTTCTTCTATCTGTTGCGTCTATAATGAGAAAATTGTTAAAAACGTCTCATACCGAAGAACGTAGATTCCTTGCAAATTCAGAAAGTTGCAACATACGACTCGGATCGTAACAAAATCAATTTAATTCCAAACAAAGCATTTGAATATAACTACTTATGTTCATCGATTATTTTTCGACGCATTCGTATATAGTTAATATATTTCATAATATTTTTTACTTTCTATGATCTGAGAGTGGCTTTTGAAAACATTCATTCCTGTTTCGAGGATTTTAATAATGAAGACGACATTTTCCATATTTTCTGGGAATGCACCAGTCGTGAAAACAAGTTGTAAGCGAAATATTAATTTTAAAAACACAAAATAAAACATATTATGAAATATCAACTATATACAAATGCGTCGAAAAATAATCGATGACTATAGGATTAAATATCTAAATTATTTGTTTGATATCAATTTGATTTTTTTAAGATCCAAGTCGTATGTTCCAACTTCCTCAATTTGTACGAACGCTTCGTTCTTCGGTATGAGACGTTTTTAACAATTTTCTCCATATAGACGCAACTGATAGAAGTAAGATTAGTAGCGATCAGAAGCGATTATTTATCACCGTAAGCCTATGCCCCCTTTCATTTTTCGCGAACACTCCCTTTAAGTTTAAAAAAATTTGCAAAAATATATGAAAATCTAGAATTTTGCTAATTAATGTACAAGCCCTGCCTGCTTCATTTACGCGACCAGAATAAGGATATTTAGAATATTTAGAAAAGATGAGTATCAAAATTATTTCTTACATGAAAATGTTTAATTTCAAAACTTAATTCATAAAATTCACCACTGCCATTCAAACCATTTAAAGCGTAATAAAACGAGGGAAACTGAAAAGAAATGCGGGAAAATAATATAATAGATAATAAAACAATAAATGCGTAATATTGCTCGCGTGAGTGAGTGCTGGGAATTGCGTACATGAGAGAGAATGCGTATTTTAATTGGCGTCATACACTTTACAAATTGAATTAATTATCTGTATTGCAAATTCATGAGCTTAAAGAGTAAGTTGTCATGACTTATGGAGTCTGAGCAGAAAACTTTAGAATGGTAGATCATCTTTTTCTTAAACTCCAGATTAAATAATGCTTGTTCTCCTCTTGTTATTGATCTCCTGATTAATTAACAGATCGGGATTAAGGATATCCCGTTGCAAAGTTTTCGGCTCTGATCAGATGAGGGAACTTATAAATTGTGGATATCAAGATCAATGCTGGAGATAGATCTTTTGTTAATCTGCACATCAATTTAATATTTATTCAATATCCCGTTTACGTGACGAGTTAAACGAACAGCCAAGCGGAAGCCAGCTATTTTTTATGTTCAACCAATGAGAGAACAGAGAAACTTTGAATATCCAAAATATCTGCGTATAATTCAAAAGTACCCAAGGTGGATATCAAGATCAAGCGATCGGGATTATGTATTTCCAAGCTCAACAAAGATGAGCTTCAATTTTAAAATTTCAATGTTTTTTTACTTTTAAGATGCACAACAAGAATCTATGATGTTAAATACATATTGTACAGAGGCGTATTCTAAGCCAAATTTATATATAGATAAGGGCTAAGGGGGGGTATAATGTGTAAGGGCTAAGGGGCTGTATGATATGTAAGGGATAGGGGGAAAATATTGCCGAAGGTGGGGAAAATTTTCCCACGGAAACCACGTAAGAAACATTGTACAGAGAAACAAAGTGAACATGGTCCTATTAATTAATAAAAGAGATATTTAACTAGTAATTTCATGTCATTAAGTATGCTTCGCGCCCCACTTAGATAGATAATATAAGAATTGAAATTTCGTAAATAAATTACTATCGAAAACAATGGAGAGAAAAAAATTTCAGAATTTCCCATTTTTATAGTTTTTAAACATTTTTAAAATAACACTTTTTTATAGTTCCGTCTATAAAAACTCTTTGCATTTGGGTGGGTCAAACTTCGTACTTTGGCGTAAAGGAATTGAGTCTTTGCCACAAACTCAAATATTAAAACACCTATATTTTTAAAACCTGATGTTATAAACCTTTGATATTTAAANCCCCCCCCTCCCAACCAGTATTATATTTACTAAAAAGGTTAAAACAAAACAAGAAAGGGGTGGCATGTCCAATTTACAATGGTACTTGTAAAATCTCCAGCTAAGTAACATTTGGAAAGATATCGTAGTAAATTCTTTATTGTCTCTGCTGCATAAATACTCAACTTGAGAACCAACAATTAAAAATTTAGATGACCAACAATTGGAATTTTAGATGAAAATAGCTTTATCAATTTTCAAATTGGTTTACCAAGTTAAAACAACAATAGTCCTAATTGTCAACTAGCACTATTAAAACTGTTCTGAATATTCATTTACTTTCTGTAGATAGCGTACATCTTCAATAATTATATTCTTATTATTTACTACCGTACTTTTAAACATAATCCACAAAGGTTAATTTAATTTTCAAATGTTCACATATTTATTTTTTTGGAAAAAATTGTCAGACAAACATAAACAGAAACGGTTTTTGCGAATTTTTCTCAATTATTTGCCCGGAGCTAGGACCAGAGATGCTATGAGAGGCTGAACATAGGTGGTGTCAATGAAGGTTTTGCAGGCGGTGTCAAAAGTCTCTCTAAAGCATTGGAAACCAGCAACTCCAGAGATAATCTTTGCCACAACTGCAAGCTCTTCGGCTGTGTAGTTAGAGCTGCAACGTTGGATAAGCTGGCCTTCACGGCTCTGGGTCATGTCATTGACCTTATTGTTGACACAGTCCTGGATAGCTTCAGCTGTAATATTTTCTAATAGAGCTGGGTTTAGAGAAGCAACATCTGCCTCATAGATGGCTGTTTGAGCATCATAGGTCTCGTTGGCCCAACCAAGAGATTTCAGCATACACCCAACTTGTCCGTACCTTTCTTGAAGTTTCACCGTAATCTCATCGAAAGTAGGACACTTGGCGGAGTTTCTACCACGTGGTCTCCAGCTGTGTTCAGTTTCAGGGCAGTTTAGAGCTGCTTCGGCCATCTTTTGTTGCAGAGTGGAGCCAAACAGACAAGCTGCAGTGAGGGTCGTGCCATCAATGCAGAGGCCGTTTTCATTTTCCTCGGACTCGGAGGATCCACTTCTTCCTCCACCTCCTCTTCCTCCATATCCGCTTCCTCGTCGGGCATCAACCTATTAAATACAAATACATGCTATAGTAATGTTTTCCAAAATAGAAGATATTTATAATTACTTCTATTATAAGTATAGATATTTATAATTATTTCTATTATAAGTATCATAAGTATCAAGAATTAACGAACTTTTAATGTTTTTTTTTTGAAAATTTTTATTATTTTTAAATATTTCTTTCCTGTAGATGGGACAGGTGAATTTGGAATGAAAAATAGAATCAAACAAAAATTACTTAAAGATTTTAGCCAATGCAGAGTTTCGCAAAAATAACTACAAAGTATTATTTAGATTTTATAAATCTTACCGCCCCACTAAGCATGAGAGCTGAAATCATCAATGTAGAGATGAATAACTGCATGATGAAACTGGATAAATTCTACCTATTCTACAATATTTTTATACAGGTAAATATGCTAAACATGTGTGCAGGGAGTGCAGGATATAATGATAAATTGCAGGAAGTAGATTCTAGGATGAATGGAAAATACATTTTTCAAACAAAGGAATTAATTTATTGCCATAAAATCAAATTTTCAAATCCCATGTGATTTTCAAGTTGATGGTATATTACAAAGATAGATTATTTGTTCTCACAGAATTCATAGTTTTAAATTTCAAAGGTCTACGGAATTGGTTTGCAAAGATATAGGGTTTTAAAAAATCAGAGTTTTTGGGGAAGACTTAATTCTAAAGAAATTTAAGAGAAAATTTTGCGAAAAAAACTAAATAGGTTCTAACAATTGGAAAATAAATTGAAACTACCTCTGAATAGCTTAAAAATAGTAGTTTATGGATTCACCCCTTCATGTTTTTTATTAATAAATCTGTTTATTATGATTGCTTCCTGTTTTTCCATTGTTGTAACAAAATACTGAAAATATGACTCAATATTTTATTTCGTAAAAATACTGAAAGTATTTTTAACCTTTTCAAGTAACAATTTTAGCTTTTAGCTATTTCAAGCCGCCATATTTGGACACTCCTGTATGACGAGTTCATTAGCGCCTGATCCAATCAGGGTTTAGTCATGTGTTTGTTGTCTATTCTGAACCAATAGAAATAGTATGGCGGTAACATCTATTTTTCTATCTATCTCATTATCCTATTAGAGTTGTCAGAAAATGGAAATATTTACTTACACTTAAACTATGGTGTGGATTGTACTTCAAAAATCAAATATTTTCACGAATTTTTCTGTTTAAATTCGTGAATTTTCAAACATTGTAAAGTCGACATTTTTTACCATGGAATAATTTTTCAATTTGGACCATGTAGTCATAATACTTAATACCTGGGTCATGTGAGCTGCCACAGAGAATCTTTGGTCCAATCTGGTTTTAGATATTTTGACGTTTAGTGGATAATAACAAACAAACAAACAAACTGTATTTATAGATATATACAGATTAGATATAAGTTTTGTGTTATATATCAATGTTTTCACTTTTCACAGAATAATTTAGAATTTTACCATGTCTCAGATCATAGTTCAATCACTTTTCATGCTGGTAAATAAGAATTTCACTGTGTTACATATTTTATTAATTTTTTTTTTTAGAAATTTAGAAATTGTTTATATATATATACATACATATACGAAAATTGTAAATAATTATCTACTTTCACTTATTCAAATACAATTTTTTTTGGAATATCTGCACAATTGATTAATAATAGGATACTCTTTAGACTACAGCATTAAGTTATATGTCACACTATGAACAATTTATTCCTTTCCAAAAATTTAATTTGAATTGATCGAACCGATGATTATTTTTTTAGAATATGAATTTTCTAATAATCAAATATTTTTTTGCACAATCACAGGAATTGAAGAATTTGAAAAACACTTAATAAAAAAATGTAGATAATCAGGGAATTTTTAAGGATTTCTTATAGGTATTTCTGCCGAATTGCAAATGATGGGTTTCTGCCACAAACTTGAATTTTTTAAATCATATATCTTTGAAACCCGAAGTCATCTTAGACATAGGGATGGAAAAAGCCAGATTCGTTTAACCGAAACTTTGAATGTTTTTAGACTTTTAATAGGGTTTACGACTATATGAGAAGGTTCGAACATTTAAAAACTTTATTCTGTAGAAGTTTGTTTTTAGCAAACATGTAAATTTGATACCCTAGATGAAAATTTAAGGCAAAAACGATCGTTTTTGGTTTGCTTTTGTCTTATATTTTCACCTATGGATAACAAACTTGCATGCAAACTTCTACGGAATACAATTTTAAATGGTTGGACCCTTCTCATATTGCCGTATAACCTTGTAAAAGTGTAAAAATATTAAAGTTTCTGTAAAACTAATCTAGCTATTGCCGATCTAATCTAGCATTGCCGATCTAATCTAGCTATTGCCGATCTAATATAGCTATTGCCGATCTAATCTAGCTATTGCCGATCGCTACGTAGAAAATTTGAGTTTCTGGCAAAAACTTATTTCCTGTAAGTCTAATATTATTGAAAACATCTTTGGGCAAATTATTCGCTTACAAAATAGAAATTTAAAATAAATTTAGCTTTGCAATTTATTTTAGTTTAACGTATGATATGACAAAATCTAGCTACATCTGAAAACATGCATTTTTATCCACTTCAAGTTGACATCTCAATAAAACAAAATTAACCAAATTGAATATCAAATATATGTAACATTTATGCTTCTATAGAGTTTACCAATAAACTTATAAAAATAAGTTATATATCAGAGTTGACTAAAAGTTATTTTCATGCATTAAGGCTGAGAAGAGACTCAATAAGAGGTTGTAAAAATGAGTCATCCACATAAGATCTGCATGCTTTGTCAAAAGATTTTTGAAAACATTTGAATCCACTAACTCCAGCGACAATCTTATTCACAAGTTCAACTTCTTCTTCGGAATATTTTTCAGCGCATTTCTCAAATGCCTTGTGTTCAGGACTCTCAAGCATCTCCTCTAGCTCATCTTCTACACACTCTTCCATTTCATCTTCATCAAGATTCTCCTTCAGATCTTCGTTCAAGGAAGCAATATCATTGTCAAAGGTTTCTTTTACCATCTCATAGTCTTCATCAACCCATTCAAGGGTTTGCAGGATACAGCCGATAACTTCAAATTCGTCTTGAAGCTTTTCTGTGATTTTGTCAAAGGATGGACAGCTTTGATTTGTCCCCTTTCCTTTCCCCTTTCCTTTCCCTTTTCCTTTCCCCTTTCCCTTCCCCTTTCCTTGTCTCTTTCTTGTAGATGCTCTGGATGAATCCATGCAGGTTTCCATGGCGTCATTAAACTTCTCTTCTAGGTTGGATCCAGCTACACAAATATTTTTAAGAGTTTTCCCATCTATTGACAGAGCTTTTGGTTCAAAATCAAAAGATTTTGCATCTTCATCTTCATCTTCAGATGATTCGCTTTCTGAAGATCCGCTTTCAGAAGAATTGCTTTCAGAAGATTCACTTTCAGAAGATTCGCTCTCTGATGATCCGCTTTCAGATGATCCGCTTTCAGATGATCCGCTTTCAGATGATCCGCTTTCAGATGATCCGCTTTCAGATGATTCACTACCAGAAGATTCGCTTTCCTCAGATGCACTTTCTTCCGATGCACTCTCATTAGACCCACTCTCCCCAGAGCGATCTAACTGAAATATCAGTTAGTTATGATCATGACTGGGGGTTATTATTTTTACACACCCTTCTTTTAATCTATTAAGGATGCAAACCCAAAAAACCTCAGTTTTAGTTAGTTTAGTAGTTTCAGTAACTTTGTATTCTTAGCAGTTTTAGGAAAAGTTTCTATTCTTAACAGTTTCCGGGAAGGTTTCTATTCCTAACAGTTTTAGGAAAGGTTTCTAATTTTAACAGTTTAAGGAAAGGTTCCTATTCCTAACAGTTTAAGAAAAGGTTACTATTCCTAACAATTTAAGGAAAGATTCATATTCCTAACAGTTTAAGGAAAGGTTCCTATTCCTAATAGTTTAAAGAAAGGTTCCTATTCCTAACAGTTTAATAAAGGTTCCTATTCCTAACAGTTTGAGAAAGGTTCATATTTTTAACAGTATTAGGAAAGGTTCCAATTCTAAACAATTTAAGTAATAGTTCCTATTCCTAACAGTTTAAGGAAAGGTTCCTATTCTTAACAGTTTAAGGAAAGGTTCCTATTCCTAACAGTTTAAGGAAAGGTTCCTATTTTTAACAGTTTAAGGAAAGGTTCCTATTCCTAATAGTTCAAAAAAAGGTTTCTAATCCTTACAGTTTAAGGGAAGATTCCTATTCCTAATAGTTCAAAAAAAGGTTCCTATTCCTTACAGTTTAAGGGAAGGTTCCTATTCCTAACAGTGTGAAAAAAGGTTCATATTCTTGACAGTATTAGGAAAGGTTCCTATTCTTACCAGTTTAAGGAATGGTTCCTATTCCTAACAGCTCAAGGAAACTTTTCTATTCTTAACAGTTTCAGGAAAGATTCCTATTCCTAAAATTTTAAGGAAAGGTTTCTATGACTAACATTTTAATGAAAGGTTCCCATTCCTAACAGATAAAGGAAAGGTTCCTATTCCTAACAGTTTAATGAAAGGTTTCTATTCCTAACAGTCTAGGGAAAGGTTCCTATTCCTAACAGTTTCAGGAAAGGTTCCTTTTCCTGTCAGTTTAATGAAAGGTTCCTATTCCTAACAGTCTAGGGAAAGGTTCCTATTCCTATCATTTTAAGGAAAGGTTTCTATTCCTAACAGTTTAAGGAAAAGTTTCTATTCCTAACAGTTTAAGGAAAGGTTATGTCCAACGATTCTTGAAATATTCATTAAAAAAACTTGACAGCAAAGTGGTCTGTTTATGTATAGTTAAATAAGAAAAAGTTATTTATCCTTAGTTAGTTAAAGGGTATCGTTGTGAATTGGTAATGTCACTTTTAAATTAAAGGTCACTTGAAGTTATGCTTACAGTCCCTTTCAGTCCTACTCCTGACGTAAGGGTAAAATATCTTGAAAAGAAAAATCTTTTTTTGACAATCAGAAAAAAGTTTTAAAACAATTATCCATTTACTGTCTAATAAATAAAAAATTCAAAAAAGTAAACAATACCAAAGCGCCAAAAGCTATTGAAGCCAAAAGGAGAGTGGTAATGAAATACTTCATTTTGAAACTGGATGTAATATTTCCCTCTCCCTGCAGTTTTATACCTTTACTGTACGTAAAGGTACGGTCAAACATATGTGTAATATATTATAAAATTTTAAAATTTATAAAATGGCACCAGTGGGTAATAAATCATTGCAGACAAGTGTCCAAACCTTGATTTAAAAAGATTGTATAGAAATTAAAAGTTTAAATTTTTTTTAATAAATATCCTTTGCAAATAATATTGTTAAACTGGTTTTTACATATACATACTTCTCGATCAATAGAATTAGCTTCCCCCCCCCTTCTCAGAATGTGCCCCCCCTCTAAAGGTTGCCCCACCCGTCCTATCAATTTCTAAATCTTATCAATAAAATGGAAAATTGAGCCCAGGGGGACTTTTCCACTCACTTTCAATTTAATTTGAGAAATAGCACAGCAACCACTGTATTATGTACAGCAATTAGTATACTGTATACATAATCCGTGTACTTTGAACACAGTAATCAGTGTTCTGTGTACAGTAATCAGTGTACTGTGTACAGTAATCAGTGTACTGTGTACATCATTCAGTGTACTGTGCACATCAATAAGTGTACTGTGTACAGGAATCAGTGTACTGTGTACATCATTGAGTGTACTGTGTACATCAATAAGTGTACTGTGTACAGGAATCAGTGTACTGTGTACAGGAATCAGTGTACTGTGTAAATCATTCAGTGTACTGTGTACATCAATCAGTGTACTGTTTACAGGAATCAGTATACTGTGTAAATCATTCAGTATACTGTGTGCATCAATCAGTGTACTGTGTACAGGAATCGTGTACTGTGTACATAAATCAGTGTTTGTGTGCATCAATCAGTGTTTACTGTGTACATCAATCAGTGTACTGTGTACAGAAATCAGTATTTGTGTGCATCAATCAGTGTTTGTGGGCATCATTGAGTGTACTGTGTACATCAATCAGTGTACTGTGTACAGAAATCAGTGTCTATGTGCATCAATCAGTGTACTGTTTACATCAATCAGTGTGTTCTGTGTGCATCAATCAGTGTACTGTGCATTTACATCAGTGTATTGTGTACATCAATCAGTGATTTGTGTATTTGAATCGTGAACTATGTAGAACAATCAGTGTACTCTGGTGTGCTTTTATTATTATTCGATGTTTTGTGTACAGCAATCAGTGTACTGTTGACAGCAGTCAGTGTACATTTTACAACAATAAGCGTATTTTGTGCAAAAAAAATTATATAAAATTTTACAAACAAAACTAGTCATCGGGATTTTCCGCCAACTTTTGTTTGTTTCCGTTTTCCCTAATTTTTAATTACCTAGCACAGATGTATTTTTTAAAATATTGTTGGTAAGCGTACTTTTATGACTCACAGAGCAAAGTACTAATAGTACTTAATTAAAAATGTTCATTATTTTTGTATTTTTGTAGGATAAATTTGCAAGTTTAAACTTTGGGATCTCAATGGACATTTTGTTTCTACATTTAGTGATTTTTCTACGCTCAGGGAGTTTGTAACAAAATTGGTCTCGGAGTCCCTTGATAAAAGTATAATTCCCTTAACATCCCTGTAAATCAGTTGGAAATAATTGTTAAATCTTTTTTCGTTGTTCTATGATAACTAGTTAAAACTAGTTTCCGCTCATTAATTGGTATTAAACTGTTCGGTTGCAACAAATAAAACTGAATGAAAAAATAAATACTGCTCGTTGTCATAGATGCACCCTATAAAGTATTGAAAAAATTACATATATCTTATTCTTAATATTCATTAGAACAAAAACTCTCAAATTGTGTTCGTGTATAATAATTAATATTCTTTGAATAAAAGGTTGGTAGTGATGCATTTAGTGATGCATTTAGTATTGCATTTAGTGATGCATTTAGTGATGCATTTAGTGATGCATGTCCACAAATCAATTGCGATAGTATATAGGGTTACCCACAAAATATAAGACTTCAAAACCGACATAGAGCTCAATAAATATGACGATTTGAAGGTTAAACTTTTAAATAAATTATTAAAAAATATAGAGTTTTTCACTTTATACTCAGTTCCTTTAATCCATAAAAGCTTAATTTCAAGTGAATCTCCATGCAAAGACGTCAATGCCCGATTCACAACGGTACCTTTAAAACCTTTATCTGATCAATAATATGAAAGATAACGTCGTTTTTCTAGAATTGAAAGTGTTTGAAATGTTTTAATGCAGTAGACAGACGTAAGTCACTTTAGAAAGGAAACCACAAATGAAAAAAGAAAAAAAAATTATACTTGCCAAACACAGGTTTTAAGGGTATAGTTGTGAATGGGGCATTGCCTTCTGTGCCTGGGTGTTACTTGAAATTACACTTACAGTCCCTTGAATACAGCAAATCCATGCTTAATTTTGAATATATACTGCAAGTGTATTTCACACGGTGAAACATTTGCGGCCATTTCTTGGAAATCCAAAATCAATATACATGACAGTTGACAGACGGCTCAAATTCAATGTAGAGGGTGTCATATTAGACATGACAGTTGACAGACGGCTCAAATTCAATGTAGAGGGTGTCATATTAGACATGACAGTTGACAGACGGCTCAAATTCAATGTAGAGGGTGTCATATTAGACATGACAGTTGACAGACGGCTCAAATTCAATGTAGAGGGTGTCATATTAGACATGACAGTTGACAGACGGCTTAAATTCAATGTACAGGGTGTCATATTAGACATGACAGTTGACAGACGGCTTAAATTCAATGTACAGGGTGTCATATTAAACATGACAGATGACAGATGACTTAAATTCAATGTACTGGGTGTCATATTAAACATGACAGATGACAGATGACTTAAATTCAATGTACTGGGTGTCATAGACATGACAGATGACAGATGACTTAAATTCAATGTACTGGGTATCATATTAGACATGACAGATGGAAGATGGCTTAAACTCAATGTACAGGGTGTCATATTAGACATGACAGATGACAGATGGCTTAAATTCAATGTACAGGGTGTTATACTAGACATGACAGTTGACAAACGGTTTAAATTCAATATACAGGGTGTTATATTAACGTGACAGTTGAACAATGACTTAAAACCAATCTACAGAGTGTCCCATTAAACGACAGTTGACAGACGGCTCAAATTCAATGTATAGGGTGTACCACAAAACATGGCTTAAAATCAAATTACAGGGTATCATATTAAACATGAGAACTAAAAGACAACTCAAAATCAAATTACAAACCCAAAAGTCTGCTTGTATATCTCATCAATCTATATAAAGCAGTAATCTCTGTTTTGACGTTCGATCAAAACTCAGGAACCCCTGGAACCGATTCGCCACGAATTTTGATTTGGGAACTCGGTAGAACAACGAGAATATTCTGTGCCTAACAATTCTAAGCTAAGTGGGAATACTGGATTCTCAAGCTAGTAGAATAAATGTAAAAAACAATAAAAGAATTTTTTGATTTTGTGCAGCAGTGACAAGCAAGAAAATTACAAGACTCTTACCAAGATATATTTCTCTTTGTTGCACAATTAAAAAGCAAACGGTATATTTGTAATGAAGCAAATGTAACTCTTAAAATGGAGGCCGTTATTTGAAATTATGTCTAAAGTGGAGGTCGTTACTTAAAATTATGACTGAAATGGAGGCCGTTACTTGAAATTATGTCTAAAATGGAGGCCCTTACTTGAAATTATGTCTATAATGGTGGATTACTTGAAATTTTGTTTAAAATGGAGGCCTTTTCTTGAAATTCGGTTTAAAATGGAGGCCGTTACTTGAAATTTTGTCTAAAGGGAGGCCGTTACTTAAAATAATGTCTAAAATGGAGGCCGTTACTTAAAATACTGTCTAAAAGGGAGGCTGTTACTTGAAATTATGTCTAAAATGGAGGGTTCATTGAAATTATGTCTAAAATGGAGGGTTCCTTGAAATTATGTCTAAAATGTAGGCTGCTTGAAATTATGTCTAAAATGTAGTGTTACTTGAAATTATGTCTAAAATGGAGGGTTCCTTGATATTATGTCTAAAATGGAGAGTTCCTTGAAATTATGTTTAAAATTGATTGTTTCTTGAAATTATGTCTAAAATGGAGTGTTCCTTGAAATTATGTCTAAAATGGGGTGTTCCTAGAAATTATGTTTAAAGTGGAGGGTTCCTTGAAATTATGTCTAAAATGGGGTGTTCCTTGAAATGTCTAAAGTGGAGGGTTCCTTGAAATTATGTCTAAAATGGGGTGTTCCTTGAAACTATGTCTAAAATGGAGGGTCCTTGAAATTATGTCTAAAATGGGGTGTTCTTTGAAATTATGTCTAAAATGAAGTTTTCCTTGAAATTATGTCTAAAATGGAGTGTTCCTTGAAATTATGTCTAAAATGGGGTGTTCTTTGAAATTATGTCTAAAAGGGAGTTTTCTTTGAAATTATGTCTAAAATGGAGTGTTTCTTGAAATTATGTCTAAAATTGGGTGTTTCTTGAAATTATGTCTAAAATGGAGTGTTCCTTGAAATTATGTGTAAAATGGGGTGTTCCTTGAAATTATGTCTAAATGGGGTGTTCCTTGAATTTATGTCTAAAATGGGGTGTTCCTTGAAATCATGTTTAAAATTGAGTGTTCCTTGAAATTATGTGTAAAATGGGGTGTTCCTTGAAATTATGTCTAAATGGGGTGTTCCTTGAAATTATGTCTAAAATGGAGTGTTACTTAAAATATTGTCAGCAGCTAGTCCTCCAAAGTGTTACGATTCGATTTTTCTTGTAAATTTTCTGATACTAATAAAATTTGATGTTTTAGAGGCTCCCTTCAAACACATGAATATTTAATATATCATCCCAACATATTATTCGACGTTTAGCATACGCATAAATTCTTTAGCGCACAGTACGCAACCCATTTATCAAGCGTAGTGAGCGTGCGTACATTTATCAAATGTACGCACAGTTTACAGTTTACATCACTAATTTTAGAACTGGGGGGCATCATATTACATCAAAGTAAAATTAATTATAGAAAGGGGGGGGGGTCACATCATAATACATTTTAGATTGGGAGTCAACCATTCAAATACTTTATCAGTATACTTACAGGGTGAGGAAAAAAGTGTTTTTTGGTACTCCAATAGCGCAAAAAATCCGCGAAACTCTTCTCTCTCTCAAAATCCGAAGTTCAGAAAAGCAAAAATGTGTATATATACTTATTCTATCAAATTCTAAATTTTGCTGATCACAGAAAATTCGCATGTGGTCTAATTTTTAAGGAAATGTTGTTTTCCTATGAATCCTCAGTTTTCAAATGAACAGCGTATATCTATAACTTTAGAATATACTAAGAAAGGAACTAAAGGATTTACAGAACTTTTCCATAAAAATTAGACCTGAATAGAGAATTGCGAATTTTCTTATTACAATTTTGCAAATTTTCTATGATTCAATCTTTATAAAATTCTAGAATTTGAAAGAAAAATACATATACACATTTTTGCGTTTCTGAAATTGATTTTAAGAGAAAAAAAGTTTAGCGGATTTTTTTTACCATTGTAGTACCACAAAAAAATGAAAAATTTCAAAGAATATTGAAAAAATACCGCACAGGAGAGTTGCACACAAAAAAGCTGTATTAGTTTGCTTCATACGCCGCTAATCACCCTTTTTATACTCACCCTGTATGTTTCAATTAAAATTTCATGTAAAAATTGACAATTTTCAATTTTCGTAAAATTGACCTTCGGACCTATAAAGAGGAGATAATTAAGGATATTAAGAGTTTTAATTTCAGTCAAAAAGTTTGAGATCTTCGTTAAGGTATTAAACGGACATATTTACCGCATACATGAATAAAAAAATATGAAATTTCTTGCCATACTTTGCTAGTAATTTTATAAGTAATATGATTTTGTTCCTTGGGTTTATTTTCTATAACAAAATATTAAATTACCCAACTTCTGAAGTATTTGATAAATCCCACTGTGAAAAAGTAAAAATGTTTTTAAGAAAGGCCGAAGAATAACGGGCCTTTTATGCTTAACTTTTGAAATTGTTACACCTCGAATGAAATTGAATTCTATATTTATTGAAATATATTTTCTTAATAAACATGTAATTAAAATCTGGTGCATAACACTTTTTAACATAAAAAGCATTGTTATTTAAAAAAACAAAATTAACAGACAAAACACGAAAAAACGTAATTTTACAAAACATATCAATAAATGTTGTATTTTGGTAACTTAGAATAAAATGAATATTTTCCTATTACATTCAGAAAAACGATATTTCAAGAATGTCGTCTTCGAGATTTCCTTGATCATTTGGGAGATTTTAAAATAGTAACAGTGACTAGATAATACTGCAAATCAAGAACAAGATTTTGATCCAAAAGGCGTTATTTAACTTTGAACATTTTTCATGTCACGACCACTGTACGCACAGATTTAAGCTGAATATTAGGAAGAAAAAGTTTGATAAATTCAATGAATAAAAAAAACTAGCTGCGGTTTTGACCAACAAAGGATGAGACTTGAGACAACATTGCACAATCTAATAAAGGGGCAGTACCCTCAAATCTTAATTGAAAAAAGTGGGATGTGCGATTTACAACGGTACCCATCCAAGCTTAGAATGATCAAGGAGGAATTGGATATCCATTTTTTGATTCTCTGTGAAATTGCATTTCTTGCCTCAGAAATAAGGGAGAAATTAAAAGAATTAAACGCTTTTCAAGCATAAAACGACGTTACATTATTGGTACCGTTTCCAATCGGACATTCCCCTCTGTACATAGAGGGTCACTTGAAATTACGCATGCATAGTCTTTATTTTTACATTTATGGCTCGCAAAACATTAAATTAAAGTTATATGAAAAGTTCAAATTTCAAATAATATTATAAACAGAGTAGCAAGAGTCAAGACGTCATTAAGTTTCATCATTTGTGGGTAACCAAGCATTTCATAAGTTTGAACTAGTATTAAATAAAACAGTTAAATAAAATAATTTTTGATTTCAATAAATTATAACTTTACAAGGCAAGAAATCTGGATATATGTCGACAAAAACGGTTCAAATATTTATGATGAAAAAAAACCCAAAAAATACGATACAAAATGTGCAGTTAAGATTATATGGGGGGTTTGAATTAAGTTTTCAGAAAGTTAAGAACAACTTTTCGAAAGTTCTGACCACATTTTCTAAAAAAGTTGTTTTACAATTTATGGTTTTATATTTTATATGTATTTGAAGTTTCGCTGTTGCATCGCTAAATCAAACAAATACTATTTATTGCTGAAAGCTATTTAATAAACCACAACAATTACGAACTACCTCGAATTTTTCAGTTTGCCCTGAGGTCAAAATTTTTGAAGGAAATAGCGCGCTAATCTACTACGCCTGTCGCCGCGATCTCGTTTTCCACAGTTGAAACTCTTGAATTTAAGGGATAGTTGCTTAATCCCTCAATTTAGTTTTCCTAATTGCTAGGAATTGGTTCACTCCGGATAATAGCTTAATCCTCTGAACAACCCAATAGTTCTGACCTCTAGTTCAGAAAATCAGTTAGCAGTTGGGCACCTGAACAATCAATCAATCAATCAGAGATTTAGGGACACACTACTACACACATCATGCTCAACATGAATTCACTAAATTGACTAAATTGAGATATGATTGACTTAAAAGCTTTGTGATAAGTGTCCTGAGAAAATTGCCTTTGATAGTTCTTTGTTTCTAATATTAAAGTTACGAGATTATTGATGAAATATAAATTAACACAACATTTAAAAAGTATCCTTACGGATTCCGAACAATGCCCTTTACTTATTAAATTAACAATGTCATATATTAAACATTAATTGGTGAAGAAAGTTTAAATACTTATGTATACGTTTTTTCTTAACCGTGGATAGCACTTCAAAGGAATTGAGCCTATGACACAAACTACTTATATCTTTGCAACCCACTGTCGTAGACCATAGATATTTAGATAGATAAATTTCGACTATTTTTTCTTGGTTTTGGCTACATAAATCCGTAATTCACGCTTCAATAGAAAAACTTTGATCGATTCTCAGATAGAAAAATAAGGATATTTTGAAAAAATTTTCTCAGGCAAAGGTTTAAAAAGTACATTAGTGAATTGAGGATTACATTTAAATTTACATTAACAGTCTTATTATTATTTAATAGTTAATAAATACTTTGCCTAATTTTGTAATTTAATAAATTTGAGCTGTGTCTCAAATCCACCCAAATCCAATTTCACATGAGCACTGGCTTAAAACATGTAACATTTAATACAATTTTAAGTTGAACCAACCATATTTAAGCCCCGTCTCAAGTTTAAGCAATTTAATCGAAATTATTTCTTTAGTTCTTAAAAATCCATTTCTTCCCGTCCTTAGTCATCTTTCAGCGAGTTGACCAGAGACTATCAAGAAGTAGTTATGACTAGTTTCAAATAGTTGAACCACTTATCTGATTATAGAAGTGGTTCAACTAGGGAGATTTAATTCAACTTCTTCTCGTTAATTAAATCCCAACTCTACATTTTGAATTTAAACGCATTATTGTTTATTTAAAAATATTTACTTTTGTATAAAAACATGGTAAATTCACTTTTTTGGCGATTCATGCCCGATTTATAAAAATAATTTTAACAATTGCTCTTTAACAGTAAAAATATTTGTGCATAATCAAACTTCACCATAAATATTCCTTAAGGTTATGTGATCGATTCAGCTGTTTTCATACCTGCGAAGAAACAGTAGGTTGGGGAGAAGGTGACCAATCTTCATTCAAATACTCTGCAAACATTCTCCTTGCAGTACACAGTACTCTACAATACAATAACATAAAGATTATTCTTCATAAAGATATTATACTTTCTCCTTGCAGAAAGGAGTATTCGAAAATATAAAACAAATAGTATTAACAATAAAATAACAATATTTTGCAAACAACCACAACCACGACCACGACCACGACGACAACCACGACCACGACCACGACCACGACCACGACCACGACCACGACCACGACAACGACCACGACCACGACCAAGACCACGATCACACCAAGGTTGGTACATACCTGTCCACATCATGTCCTCGAACCATTTTATCAAAAAACATTGCAATATCTTGATAGTCCAGTTCATTCCGCATAATGTGATCTCGGTGCTAAACATACAACAAGCTATTTAATTCTTCATTTATTGAGTGCAATGTCTGATTCACAATGATACCCTTTCAACATTTGTTTGATTCAGCATGAATGAGATATTGTCGTTTTATATGTAAAAAATGGATTTTTTTTCAATTGTGGGTTCTTAGCAAAAGTGACTAGCGCATCTATTGCAATCAGAAAATGATAGAAAATTGTCAGAATTTACTCCTCTTAAAACAGATGCTGTGGCTCAGATGATACAAATGTTGCTTGAAGAAAGAGAAAATGTTCTATTAATAAACCCTACCTGGAGAAGACTTGATAGACAGAGAAACATAAGGAATGGATTCCCATGTCCAAACTGCGTGGGGGGAGGAAGACGACTAAAAACAAAATTATTCTATGAGTTAAAATTTTAAAAAGGGGGGATTGAACTTATGGAAGTAAATATGAAAGTTTATAAAATTGATTTTACTTCTGTTCAAAAGCTTGATATTCTATTTTGTCAAATTAATTCCGGTTTTGAGGATTAAAAGCTGGAAAAAATAAATTTACACGAATTAATTTGCTATGCAATATATTCTCTTGTCATTTCCAATAAATGCTCAGTTTATGGTTTGTTAAAATTAAATTTTTCATCTCAAATTCGCCAAAAATAACAGTTTGAGAATTTTCTTAAGATGTCGGGTGTTTAACTTACTTGCAGAAAATTGTTAGTGCATTGTTCGCCTGACTGTATCCAACAAAATCAAAAGGATCTTCCCCATGTCTAAACACAGAATTATTATCATCTTCTTCAGCGAGGATCAGAAAATTCTGGAACAGGAAAACGACTTTTGGACTCAATTTATGACTTTGAATACTTCAATAAACATGTGCAATGTAAATAAACCGACTTATCTTTCTAAATAAGTTAATAATTTACCAGTAAAACTATTTTCTATCTTTACTGCGACCCAAATCAAATAAAATGTCGTATAAACCTAGATATTTCAAACTATGAAGTCTGATAGATCAAATACTCATGGATTACACCATCAGGAAGTAGAAATTTGGGGATAAGAAATTTTTTATGTGACAAAGACTCAATTTCATCAACTTTATTTACTAAACCTACCTAGATTCTGTTGAAGAAGGTTCAGTAGATTGAGGCCGAGTAGATTCTAGATCGATATTTAAGATGATTAATATACAAACGATAAACTTTTTTTCTTGTTCTTTGTGATCTTACAAAGAAACTAGACATACGGAATATGTCTTTAAATTAGCTGGCACAATATTGCAAAAGATTATTTATCAATATTGCAAAAGATTACGATCTCATGCAGATTGCAGGTAGACTGTAGATGAACCACATATGTAAAAATCCACTAATAGTGTGTGTGTGCAGTGACGAATTAGGATGCACAATGGGGACGCAGAGAAAGTTGCAAAAATTCATACATTCATCCCAGTTTTACCAAATAAAATATCAAAAATACATTTCCATATAAATATTCCTAAAGAGCAAGTGGGTAGTTTGTTATCATCATCTCGAGATTCAACTTTTCTTTTAACAGGAGTTTCATACTTCTTTTCAGATTCTTCTTTCTTTGTTTCAGGTTTGGTTAAGCTGTAAAAATCCTGAAATGAACTATGTTGAAAACAAGGCTATCACCCCCTCTGTACAAGAGAAAACATACCAGTTGATATCCGATTATTGTAAATAACAAAAAAATTACCTTCAGATTGGTTACACGTTTTCCAGAGGTCAAAGCATCATTTTCCACAGCTTCTTCTGCAACATCTCCAGCTCCTTGTTTATCAAGAACCTTTGTAATTTCCTCATTAATATTCTTCTCAAGTCGCTTACTTTCAACGGAAGATTTTTTCTCTGGAGTACTTTTTCCATCTTCTATGCTATTCTTTTTACCCCCAGATGAGAATCCACTTCGCTTCAGATTGAAATCTAAAGAATTGATAATTAAATATGGGTATTCAAGTGAAAAAAGGATCAATGAAGTGAATAGTGATTAGTCAAAAGAATGTACATTAGCAATGTACAGGGAGAAAAGAAAAGGTTTATGTTTGTACATTTCATAAATCTAAAATGTATCTATTTTATTGTAGGTCTGTATAAAACTTTATTTCAACTAAATAGAGTAAAAATGTAAAGATTTATTTTCTAAACATGAAATTATAAACTACAAATTAATTATGATTCTGATTTTTATCACATTTTTTAAATTGATCTATTTACGACCAGCGGCCGTTTGGGTACCCATGAAGGATGCTAGCATAGGATCAACATATGTTGTCTGAATGAAATTCTTGCAGGCCATATCAAAAATGTTTGAGAAGCATTCATAGCTCGCCATTTTTATAGCGATCTCCTCCAGAACCTGAGTTTGTGTTTCTGTGTACTTGTTTGCGCATCTGGCAAATTTGGGATCATCAGCCATTACTCCCAGCATGTTAACCACACACTCTCCGATCGCATCTGGGCCCAACTGAGACCCAATAGCATTGTCTAGTGAACCAATATCAGCAGAGATTGTGGCGTTTACTTCATTTCCATTTTCATCCATCCAACCCATGCTTCGGTACAAGCAGTCAGATTCACTCATTTCCTGGCTCATCTTGGATTTTAAAGCAGCAAAGGAGGGACATCTACGCCTCCTTCTCCCTCTCTCAAGGTCACTAGAGTCCCTGGTGGCAGCAGAACCTGTGAAACATTGCATTGCAGCTTCCATTTTACCCTCAAGGTTTGAACCAGAAATACACATGGCATGAAGTGTCATAGGATCCAAACAAAGACCCTCAGGTTCCGATTTCATCTAGAGAAATTTATAATTATTAAATTTTTTACATTTTGTTCCAATCCACATAAAAACATAATACATTGAATTAGGTTTGACAACAGATGGTTTTATGCATCAAAACTTTTAATTCAAAATAAAATTTTATTACTAACAGTGCTTTGTCATACTTAAATAGAATCTAGAAAACTTAAATAGAATCCCCAAAAAATGACCTTAAAAGTGGTAACAATTTTTTTTTTATAAAGGTTTAGTCAAAATATTAAAATATAATATAAGTCTTACCATTGAGGCCTGAGCCAAGGCAAATACAATTGTAAGTAGAGCAAAGAACGTCTTCATATTGAGGTGGTGAAAAACTGATATATGTCACTAACCAGACCCGCGATATATACCATGGCAATAAGAACATATGGAACTTTGTCTTGCATATCAAATGTCCGTGTAATCTGAGTTTGATTTGCAATGACATTTTCCACTGAAGCCCGGCAAAATTGTTTTAATACTCTAAAACTTTAAACTTAAAGCATTTACGATCAATTTGAAAATTAATAAGTAAGCAAGAAAACAAGTAAGTAATTGCACTGCTTACACATTTATTCGTACCAACCCGTCCAGTAAACCTAGTGGACCTAGCGCATTTTATGAAACAAATTTATGTTGGCTGAGATGGAATTTAAAGAATTTTAGCCACGGTTTATATCCGCCAAAACCCGGTTTAAATTAAGCGCCGGCTTAAATCTTGAAACATTTGATACAATTTTAAGTGGAACCAACCATATTTAAACCGCGGCTTGAATTTAAACCACCGCTCAAATTCTTAATATTCGGCCACTGGGTACTTAAAAACCTCTCACCTAATGTAACACAGATGGTCCTTTATGGTTAAAAAAGTTCTTTAATAATACATACTAAATTAGAATAATATAAGTTTTTCTCATTACCAAAAAAAAAATTACATATTTTTAGTAATATTTATTTTTTAAAATGACAAGTGTTTTGTTGATAGCACTTTATCAAAATGTCAAATGTGTTTCATACTATAATTTGGAAAATCCACTGAAGCATAGTCATAGTTTTTTTAAGAATATTTTTCTGCATTTGTATGCAACAAATAAAAAAAATCCAATGAAACCAAAAAATTTCGATTTTTGTTGTTGCAAATATTAACCAAGGTTCCCTCAAAAATGTCAGCCAATTTGGTCCAGCCGTTTGTTATGAAAAGCATTATTATATAGATTGTTAGCTTACTTGCTGAGCTTTTTGACTTGTTGACTATTGTTCTTGGTGAATCTGAATCCAGGTTTGCAGATCTTACTCTTCCTCTTGGATCCAGACCTAATCAAATCAAATCAGTCTTTTCTGGAAGTCCTATAACTATCCACGATTCAAACTCAAAATAAAATTACTAAATCTAGTATGAAACAAGGCCTTATAGCTTGTGAACTGATTGACACTTTTCCATGTTATAAGCCTTCTATAAATCAAAAATATTTTTTTCAACAATCCATGGTGTATGTTTTCCCAGTAAAAATTATTATCCATCCAGGAAACGGCTTGCATTTTATTGTCTTGCAGAACTTTTCTCTTTTATCCAGACAAAACTAAAATTATTTGACTGAATCAAATATTTTTTTTTAGACTTGTAACAAATATCGTAGTAAACCCTATATTTGTTAACCTGAACACATCTAGATATATTACCCTGTACATTGTAACCTAACTACATCAAACCTGCATTGTGATTAGCCTAACTACGCGTGTATAAAACGATGCAAAACTTGTAATTACATTCAATAGCTTAACCTGTACCATAGAATTCTAAATATACGTCAGTTGTTAATAATACTCCGCTTTGATTACGGTGTAAGAGTAATTGTTCCTCGCTTAGCTAACAAGAAGCGTCCTGAATCACTTTCTTGAAAGATATAGTGAGTTGTATCTTGAAACATAGATACCTGAGAATACAACAGCATCTTATCTGGATTGATATAGATTCTAGTTTTCTAGCTGAGAGTCAGCATGAGTTGTATCTTGAAACATAGATACCTGAGAATACAACAGCATCTTATCTGGATTGATACAGATTGAGTATTATATCATATCTGTTCGGTTCCATAGTAGTAAACCTATTATTAAATTTTTTTCCTCATTAGATTATCATATTCTAGCTGAGAGTCAGAACGAGTTGTATCATGAAACATAGATACCTGAGAATACACCAGCATCTTATCTGGTTTGATACAGATTGTGTATTCTAGCTGAGAGTCAGCATGAGTTGTATCTTGAAACATAGATGCCTGAGAATATAGATTGAGTCGTATCCGGATTGATATTGACTAAGGTATTATTGAGGAAGCCTGAGTTTAATATTGTAAGACAGATACCTGAGAATATGGAAGGTTATACTTGGATTGGTACGGATCTAAAACTATTTATTGGAGTAGAGCATTTGCTACTGACTTACCCTTCTTTGCCTCTGAAGATTTGACATCGGTATTATCTGATAGTTGTCGGTCAACACTCTGCTTCCTTATAGTAGCTGCCACCTGAACAAATCAAATCAGACTTTAAGGGACGTCCTTCTAACCATATTTCCCCCTTACAACTAAATTATATGGTAGAATACAGCGAGAACCAGAACATTGTGTAAGGAATGTAATTTTTTTTGTTTTTTTTTTTTTTAAAAAAGGATTTTATGATTTTCAACTGTGAACCAACAAAATACATCAATTACAAAATACTTTTATTATAAATTAAAAATTTGAAGAAAAAAGGAACCTTTTACTTTTATTTACACTTTTTGTTAAACGTACTTTTGGAAAAATTATATTTGGAAAAAATCTTGATGACAATAAGGTTCTTTGGGAGGTTGCTCTTTAAGTTTAACACTTTGTATTACAACAACAGCACAGTGTTGATTTATTGCTTTCTACTTTTATTTGTTGATTGTCGATAGATGTCATAAATTTTAGAATTATTTTTACTGATTTTACCTTTCCGTAGGGTGTTTGGCAAGGTTTACTCAGATCAGTTGAACTTGGTGACATCTTAGGACTGAACTTTGTCTCCCATAATTCAATCCAAAAAAAACCAATCCATTAAAAAGAATTCAATCAAAAAAAATTTATTTACATTTATTTTGAATCCTAGACTCGATTTTTCAAATAAATTGCAAATTGCACAATTTAATTTCAAACAAATCATTCAGATAATACAACCTATAGTCATCGATTATCTTTCGCCACATTTGTATATAATTTATATTTTAAAATATTTTTTAATTAATATTTTTAAACTCTATTTTTTAGAGAACGTTTTTAACGTATTTCGAAAAATGTGAGTGGTACGCGGCATTCTTAGATAGTTGCGCAAGCGACAAGAGAAATAAAATTATAAAAATAAAAGTAAGATTAGTAGCGATCAAAAGCGCTTTTTTTCGCATTAAGTCTATACCCCCTTTTTATTTTTTTGCGAACACTCCCTTTAAAGTAAAGTTTAAATACCCGCCGTGCTCCTGCATTTAAATTCATAAAATTGTAAAGCTTGTTTTTAAGTGCTTTAAATCATGGTTTAGCTCTTTGATATATCAAACTTTCACTATTTAATCTAGCATAATTCAAAATTTGAAATATTTCAGGTCTACTCTCGCCCCTCAGGTTAAAACAAATTAAGGGATTAGAAGAATATATTTTAAGTGAGCAATTAGTTTGTTGCTATTCAAAATTCTTTAAATGTCAATATGGTTTACACCATCAGGTTTCAATGTTAAAGGGATAAGAAAATGTGGACCTCGTATCAGCTGTTGCAGGAGGTAGAGAAGACCACGTGACCTCTAGAGCTTTCATCGCCAGATCAAACGGAAACTCACGTTTCATTTCCAGAAGCAACCATCTTAAATATTTAATTTAAAATGCAAAGCAACTGTATCTCACAATTGTCAAGGATTAAAAAATGAATAAAGCATCTTTTTATTAAAGCATAATTTTATGAACTTTTTACGAAAAAAACTCTTCAACAAAAAGAATCAGCAAAACCATTTTGAAAAAAACTTTCAACCAAATTGAGCAAGTTGTATACTAGAGTAAAAAACATTTTTCTTTGGTGAAATCTATTTAATAATTGTAACATGTAAATCACATGTAGGACCAAATTTTCTTCAAGAAAAATATAATTAAATTAAAATAAAATAAAAATGCTTTCTTATTTTTACTTTTTAAAGATATGCAAAGTTCCCAATACTTTAATATACTTTTATTTACTTGATGGTCGATCTTTTATTTATTCATTTATTTTTATACATCTATTTACATTTCTCTACATCTGTAAACATTTCTCTACATCTATTTACATTTCTCTACATCTATATACATTTCTCTACATCTATATACATTTCTCTACATCTATATACATTTCTCTACATCTATATACATTTCCCTACATCTGTATACATTTCTCTACATCTATATATAAATTTGGCTTGTCTGTTTGGGTGTCTGTTTGTTTGTTTGTATCCAATAAACGTCAAAACGGCTGAACCGATCGGGCCAACATTTTTTGTGGTACATCACGTGACAACAGGGAAGGTGTATGAATGATCTAAATTTCAAATATTTGTCTCTATCAAAATTCGATCTTCATTAAATTTTTAAAAATTTTGAAAATCCACGAATTTTTTTGTGAAAATCCGCGAATTATTTTTGTTTTGTTTTACGATGTACACAAAGAGAACATGTTCACAATTAATTTAGAAGATGGGCGCGAAGAGCCCTCTAAGGCTAGTCTATTTACATTTCTCTACATCTATATATAAATTTGGCGTGTCTGTCTGTTTGGGTGTCTGTCTGTCTGTTTGTATCCAATAAACGTCAAAACGGCTGAACCGATCGGGCCCAAATTTTTTGTGGGACATCTATATACATTTCTCTACATCTGTATACATTTTTCTATATCTATATACATTTCTCTACATCTATATACATTTCTCTAAATCTTTATACATTTATCTACATTTCTCTACATCTATATACATTTCTCTACATCTTTATAAAGTGGCATCCAATCTGTGCAGTATGAAAAGGATATTTCAGCAGTTTATATGCAAATTTTTTTTATTAAGGTAAAATGAGTTTGTTTACACCACCCATATTCTTTGAACTATTCAAAATCGTGATTTGAAACGAAAAATTGTTATTTTAATCCACCGTTTAATGGCTTCCACAGTATGTTCACAAAATCAACTATTTCTATATTTTTCATTAACATTCATATCTACAGGGTTGCCTACAAAGACATTTTTGAGGGAGCCCATGGAAACCCTGGGGTAACATAAGCTTTACAAATTCTACAAAAAATTCTTCAAATTTGATTTTTTTATTTCACGGGCAATGCCGGGCACTTCAGCTAGTAATATTTATATAATAATTCAAAGGTTAAATTAAGTCTTTAAATGGAATATTTTATGATTTGACAAAGAAAGAAACAAGTTTCCAGTTGCCAGGAACCATGAATATAAGGAAACCGACAATCTAAACTTCGGTTCGTACAGTCGTCTTGAGTCACATCCTTTGAAGGTAACCCTGTACTAAATGCAATATGCATGAATATCAATATCATGTTTTCCTAAAAGTTGGATTAAATAAGAAATAATGAAAAATTCTACCTGTAGCAAAATAGTAAATCGTCGGCCATATGAAGTTTTAGATAAGTGTAGAATTCTGGATCATAGTACATTAGACCCTGCAAAAATTACATTTAAAAAGCTGGCACCCAATTTAATGTATTGGAGAGGTCGATGAACTAATTGCCGCCGGTTCAAATCATAAATCATAGATTCAAATCCTCGTGAATCTACACCGTGAATCTGTGAATAAGGATTTGAACCGGGGCGGAAGGTGGTTCCGCGAACTCTCCAATTTATTAAGTTTCGACCCAGGGTCCAAATTTCATGTATAGTTGAAATATGTAGACTTTATTGAACCACTTCTTTTCAACTTAAACAGGCGCACTTCTACATCTACATAGTGCTTAACTACTTCTGACTAATCATTAAATCTAAAGTTAGAACATTCGTGTTTATAAATCTTAGGATCAAGCATTGATCTCCGTCTTGTGCCGGCATGCGGATCCTATTCGAATAGTCCGTGGAGGTCATACCGTGTCTACAAATTATTGAGTAAATAAGAATTGATCCTGAAAATTTAAAAGTGCCCCCAATGAATATCGAAATCAAGCGTTCAAAATTAACATGCCAAAAGATCTGATTTCTAGTCAGTTGTCTCAGAACTTGCAAAATACAGCCTAAATAATTATTTGAAATTTGTAAGAAGAAAATCAAGGAACAAGATGTATATTTACCACGGATAAAATAGATCAATACTATCATCATCAATACAAAAAGGGAGTGACCGGTTATGTTAGGTAGTTGAACTGAGTATGCAGTGTTGTGGAAAACTTCTTTTTTGAGCGCAAAATCGACGTTCAAAACCCCTACTTTGGGGGCATGGATACGTTTTCAGAATTAGTTTTTTTAAATTATTAAATAACGACGACATAAAATGTAAACAAGTTCTACAATAAACTACAGACGTCATGTATAGAAACATGTTGAGAAAACAAAAATTAACTAATCTTGTTCAATTATTAGTTTTTGTTTTCTTATTATTCTGGTTTCTCATTATTCACAAAGATTTTCTACAGATTTTTCAAGAATTATTAATGAAAAGACGATATTTGAAGAAATCTGCGAATAAATTTTAGCATTGATTTGTTGACCAATTTCTTTTGAGAAATATGTTCCTAACCATCTATTTAGATTACTGTATAATTTTTACTTTATTTTTCGTTGTCTTTATTTAATAATAAAAAAACTAATTTTGAAAACGTATCCACCCCCAAATAGGAGTTTTGAACGTCGAATTTACGTTAAAACTCGGGATTTACAGATCTTTTGAATAAAAAAGACATTTCGAAAAATCTTTAAAAAGTTTTATATGTCTCAAATGAATCTGAAAGAAGTTTTCCACAACACTGCATACGTAGTTCAACTACCTTACATAGCCGGTCACTCCCTATAAAGAAATTTTGTGAATAATTAATTGCACTATATGGATAGGATCCATTTGAAATTATGTTAACAGTCTCTTTATTTACCTCGGATAAATGTTGAAACTTTGTTGTCATGGCTACACCGTCAAGCATAAAATTAGGTTTCATCCTAAATCAAATATTTAAGAATTTAATATTTATTCTGGAGACAGGTTTTTAGTTTTTCCCCTTTCCACAACAAATAAAAGTGTTTACAAAATATTTGTAAATATATTTATATCTAAAATCAGTGTTATTGTTTCGTCAGATCACAACTTTTTCAGTAAAAAACGAAACTGTGAGTTTTGCAAGTTAGTCGGACCAATCAAATGTAGTATACTAGGCTTTTAGGGCGTTTCGAGCCCATCTTCTGTATAAATTGAGAACATGTTCTTTTTGTTTAAATTTTTAAATTTAAAACAAAGAAAAATTTTTTGCGGATTTTTAAAAAAAAATTCGCGGATTTTTCAAGAAATTAAATTTTTTACAAAATTAAAAACCTTTAAACACATTTTTTTGAAATTTTGTTCATTCATAAACCTTCCCTGTGGTCAAGTGAGGTCCCACAAAAAATTTGGGCCCGGTCGGTCAGCGGCGCAACTAGGCCTTTTCTGAGGGGGGGGCCGAAATCTGAAAGTTATTAGGGGGGGTAACGGGGGGCTAGCCCCCCCCCCGTTCCGCGAAATTTTTTTTTTAAAACGAGTACTTTTTTAAGGGTTTGATTGCAAAAAAATTAAATTTTTCAGGCTTTGTATTTATATAAAAATCATATGAAGACACAGTAGCTAAAAATAAATATTGTTCTCCTGTTATTCTAATCTATAGCTCCTTCAGTGAATAACAAATTTCAAACATGTTTTATTCTGAAAATAAAAAATAATAAAAAAGCTTAAACAATAAACATATAATTATGAGGAATCTGGCAGAAAATTGTGTACTTATTTAATTTTCATCCATACAATTCACAGCATTATGCACAAACACAATGGACTTAACAATGCACATTTAGTCGATCTAATTAAAATTTGCTAAATTTTCCAGAATGAAAAAGGTTTTACAAAATCTGAAATATGTTTAGGATGGAAAACTATTTTTTTAGAGAATCATTATAATTAGGGAAAATCCTTCAAAAGAGTATGCCAAGATGCATTTCATTATTAGTAAGATCAATGACACGCACCTCAAAAATAGTAGACCAGATTTGTTTAAACTGCGCCAAAAATCAAAAATTATAGTAAATAGTGTCGGGGTCGAGGCCCGATGGGGGGGGCGAAACACGGTTCGCCCCCCCCCCTAGTTGCGCCACTGCGGTCGGTTCAGCCGTTTTGACGTTTATTGGATACAAACAAACAAACACCCAACCAGACAGACAAGCCAAATTTATATATAGAAGATAAAACTTTAATTTTTTAAAATAAATAAAGAAGTTTACAATATATTTTAGAGAGAAATTATTTTTTTAATTAGTTGAATTTTCCAATTATAATTATAACTACAGAAAATGTTACAGAAATATTAAAGAAGAATCATTGTGTGGGGGAGAATTTAAAAAAGGTTTTATATGCTTTTTAAAAAATTACATCAATATATCTGATGGTGTTGTCTATATTTCTAACTTGTAATGTTTGATAATTTGTGTTTGAAACAAGTATTAAGTTTCTTTAAAAAAAGAAAATACAAATTTTATAACTTTTGAATTCTAAATACTAATCTCAAGCCTATTAATTAAGATATTTAGTAAAACAACGCGTAGTTAAATTATTTTATTTCATAGAACTTAAACAACTTTTTTAATTAATACCAACTGTGCCAAAATCTGAGGAAATGGAACGATCTGGAACAATTGAGATTTAGAAACAGGTGTAAGTGAACAGAAACGATGGATAGTAATCAAAACTGTATACTGTGGAATCATCCACAAGTATGTCTACCTTAACATGGTTTTGGGGTTCATTGTTAAGACCAATAACTACTGCATCGATGCCTTCGGGAACATAACAATCAGCGGAGCTAAACTGCGTTCTTCTTAGCTTAGTCCCAACCTTGAGCTTATCCAATGGTTGTCTGTCCATACAGGGGATAGAGTTACAGTTGGAGCAAATAGGTCCCCGCTCAATTATCTTAGGCTGTGGCTTGACAGGAACTGGTTCCCAGGACTCCTCCTCAGAATCTTCTTTCCTCTCCGTCTCTTCTTTCTTCTCTGCAGCTGCAGCTTTCTCGGCTGCGTCTTTAAGTTTCTTTAAGCTAGACCAACCCCAGAGGACCAGATCTTGGTTCATGGACTCCCAAATACGAATCAAATCTGTTGGAGGTATTTCATCGAAAGAATAGTTGTTATTGAGTGTTTCGTAACATTTCTCTTGGACGATTTTCACCAAATCCTCGAAAATGAATTTGGTCTCGTATTCTTGCAGAACCTCAAGACAGTAGGCAAGCTTTGTTGGAGGAACTTCCACAAAGCTATTCATTAGATTCCTAATCCCCCGGACCTGATAGGTAGCCCCTAAACCATAGATCTCAAACAGGACTTTCAAATCATTGATACTTTTAATATCATTCTTTTCACTCATATATAATATATCAGCCATAGCTGGCCAAACGGCTGGACCAAATTGGATGAATTTGTTTAAGGGGGCCCATTCGTAACCCGGGGGGTAACAAAGGTTAAAATTTTTTTTTTAATTCTCATTTTGTTTCTTCAAAATTCAAACTTTTTGATTATCAAAATTCGATTCTTTTTTAATCCATAGGTAACGCCGGGCACTTCAGCTAAGCATGATCTATGAACTTTTTGTTTTTCTACCTAATCTATATAAAGAAACAAGACATTTGTATATATGTTGCGTATAGCCGGCCAAACGGCTGGACCGATTGGGTTGACATTTTTTGTGGACACTCATGGGTGGCCGGGGGGTGTTAAAGGCTAATAAAATTCGTTTTTTTTCAGATTTTTTTTCCCACGGGCAACGCTGGGCCTTTCAGCTAGTTTCACATGAAGTGAAAATTACGCTACAGCATTAAATAATCCATTTTTTGGTAAAATTTATCTGTTTTACTTTGTTTCAATTAATTGAATAAAAAATGTTTTCTGTTTTTCCTCTTTAGGTAATCATGGACATGGAGAATTGGGATCAAGTTTCTAGACAGGGATATTTATGTTTTCAAGATTCTAAATGGGAGGGGGGTAATTACCTCCAATAACCCCCCCCCCTCCATCTAGGCCTATGCCCTGGGGACTAAAGCTAATAAATTAAATCGAAATTTGTTTATTTTCTTTTTTTATTTCGAATTCAGCTAGTCGGGTCATAAACTGCTACCACGACAATCTGTTCAAACCTAGTATCTGCTTTTTTTCGATAACCATTTTAGGATATTAAACCTTAATTGAAGTGTTTCGTTCCAAATCAGATATGTTACCTAATCGAGGACTGGAGACCGGCAACAGTCCGCAGAAAATTTCGTGTGGACATTTCTTTCTTAATAATGATAAGCTTTTAGTTTAATTTTTGATAGGTTTATTTAAAATTATGGGGTCTGTCCTAGAGAACGATTTTTGGACCCCCCCTCCCCCCCTCCTATCAATTTTGTACATGACTACTTTAGTATTTATTTAGGGTTAGGTTAGGTTAAGACACTTTCTGGGCCGAGCGCTGCG